GTGGGGGGGGGGGGTCAGCACCTTTTATGTCCAGGAAAAACACATTTCATCAATTCGTTTTCTGGATTTTACTGAAAAACGGTTATCATGGGGCCAAAAAAACATGTAAAGTAGCAGTTCCCCAGGACACTCAAACTTAGGAAGTCATCAAATTTGGCGACCATAACTTTATCGCTAGTTTTTATCTCTAACACCAAGCGACCCCCACCTCCTTCGATTATCTCGACTTTTTAAAACACTGATTGGTACTTTTTGATAACAAAAGCAAGGCATTTTAACAAGCTTTAAAACGGCACCAATATTTCTATTTTTAAATGCCCCAAAAGAATGACGAGCGCCTGATTCCATCATGTCGTGATACATAAGACTAAAACAAAAGTACAGATATACATGCATTCATACCTGACAGACAATTTTTTGACTTTTTATTTTAAGATAAGAAGCATAAGGCACCTTTTCTCACTGTACTGCCCTATACAAGCATGAGTCTTTTAACGAGTTCTTGTACAATTAGTAGAACATAAAATACAGTCAGACCTGATCTAACGGCCACCTGTCTAAGACAACCACCTGTACAAATGGCCTCTTCCCTAGAGTGTATAAATTATGTAAGGTAAGGCATGGGAAGTGGTCATTTGTACCGGTGATTGTCCTTTCTACAAGTGGTCATTTATACAGGTGATTGTCTAAAATGGTGGCCGTTGCTACAAAAAACACCAAAAAAAGATTTTAAAAAATAAAAACCTTTCTTTCTCTGAAAACAAAAGTAAGAACGAAACACAATGTTTCCACTCCAATCGTCGAGGACATTTAGAGAAAAACAATGTCATTACAGTTCCTAATACATGAGACAATTTCCCGGAGTTGGCGCATATATAATATATATTGTGTTTTGCAGTTGAACCCTTCATAAATGTTTCTATCTTCGTAATCGTGAGATTGCAGGTCAGGGGGTTCGAGCCTCAGCTCGGTCCGACGTAGTGTCCTTGGGAAAGGAACTTTGCACGAATTTCCTATTAGTTTGGCTCGGTCATTTCGGATATGGACGTTAAACTCTAAGGTCCTGTCTCGTAGATGACCTAATTGCGTTGATAGGGACGTTAAACCCTTTCATTTGATCTAGCATCAGGTGCAAGAGCAACCACCCACCCCCGAGAAAAGAAAAACAAAACAAAAAACTTTCGTCTGCATACTTTTCAAATAAAAGGGAGGGACAAGGTTTGAATGGGGGGGGGGGTAAAAG